AGGGCTTAAAATGCAGTCAGGGTGATAAGGCAGAGTGTGTGCTCAGGAAGTATCAGTTCCTTCCCACCTGAGAATGCTGAATGGCCTCGGGTGGCTTCACTGCCCACCATCAGGGCCAGTTCAAAGTCCTTGGGTGGGAGCATTTCATTCGCTGAGGTGGTGGCACTCGAGGTGATTAAAACAGGCCAGCCTAGGTCAGTGATTCCCAAATGCTCACTAGCTGTTCAGAATGGCCTGGCAGATCTGTATGTTCTGAAAAGCTGTGTTTCCACAATGGTTTGTTGTTTGACTAGAGTATGTGGCAGAACCAAGAACAGCACGATGCCATTGTTTAAACAAAACAAAACCACATCTACCTTAAATCCTAAATAATACAGATTCTAAATAACATTAGATAGATGAGGCCATGAATACTGATCTAGAAAGTAATAAAAAGGAGCATATGTCCATGTAGACATCTGAGGGATACAGTTAAAGCTGTAGAAAGAGGAAAATGTATAATCTGACGGGCCTTAATTGTTATAAAAAGAGAAATAGATACTAGATTGTCAGTCAGATGTATTAATGATCTTTAAGGATCACTTTTAGCTTACACACTTTTGTATTGCTTAAGGTATTATTTTTTTTATAATTAAAAGAGATTCCTTTGACAGTTTCCCACTCCTATAAAAATGAAAATATATACCCACAAAAAGATTTGTACATCAATGCTCATAGAAGCTTTATTCCAAATTGCCCCAAACTGAAAACACCCCAAATGTCAACAGGAGAATGGATAAATAAACTGGTGCATCCATTCAACGAAATACTACTCAGCGATAAAAGGAATGAACTACTGATACACACTGAACAGCATGGCTGGATCTCAAAAACATGAGGCAGAAAGAATCCAGACACAAAAGAGTCTGTGCCATTCAAGGCCATTCTAGGCTTAGCCAAACTCATGTATGGTGATAGAAATCAAAGCTGGTTCCCTTTGGGAGGGGAAGGCACAGATAACTTTCCGGAGGAACTGGAAACGCTTGGTATCTTGATCTGGGTGGTGGTTACACAGGTGTAACCACCTGCGTAATTCGCCAAAACTCATCAAACTGTAACAAAAATCTTTGCATTTCATTGCATGTAAATTATAGCTCGACTTAATTTTTTTTAATCACGAAAAAAAAATTTAATATAGATTCCCAGGATCCACCCTCAGAGCTTTTATTCAGTATCCAGGCCGGGCCCGGATTTGTGAAAAGTAAGCCAGGTAATTCTGATACATGACTAGAAGTACTGCTGCTGGCTTCTGGCCCCTACAACACCTCCCCTTTATTATTTGAGTGATTTGTGTGTTGGTTTTTACAAGAGAGCTGGTTGATCACCAAGCTTTAGAAGCATAACAATGTTCATTCTCTCTGCCCTCCCCCACCACCCCAACCCCTGCCCCTCAGCTCGGGTTTCCAAATGAAGCCTCTGACCAGGTGAGATGAGAAGGGGAACCCCAAAGCCCCGTCTAGGACAGACATACTTCACCCTAAAGAGGCCAGGGCTGCACGCTCCCAGGGAGGTCTAAGTCAGTAAGTTAATGGCCTGTGTACCTGTTAAACAGCATGTCCAGGCCTTCACCCTGTGTTTACAAAAAGAGCTCAGGGCAAAATTCACTGGCATAGAAAATGCTTTGTGCCCTGACCAAGTTACTGGGCCATCCTTGGTTTTCTACACCTCAGCCTAATTCCTCACTCACCATCAGGGGTCTCCCAGGCTCGGGGGTTTAACTGGCTTCTCCACCGCTGTCCCTAAATCCAAGCTGATACCATTTCTATCTCAGCGGCTCTCAGAATAAAGGCCAAGCCCTTTACCTAGCACTCAAGGCCCTCCACCAGTTCTTCTCTCCAGCTAGGTCCCTAGGTCTCACCTACTGTGCCCTCTGTCGGTTAATACTAGCCCATCCTGTTCCTCCATTCTGATGCCAACTCCAAAATCACCTCCTCTAAGAAACTGAAGTTCCACCTGCCTACAACCCTGCCATCAATGCACACGAGTCCTCACAGCACCCCATGGTCATAGCAGCTGCCACACTGTCCTTTCTCCTCCCCGCTATGAGCTCCTCGAAAGCCAGTGCCTCACCAGAACTAACCTTAGCAAGGCTTATTAACCAACTAAATGAGACGCATTTAAAGAGAGCTCTCATTCACATTGGAAGGCCACTGAGCATTTCCACATCCACAGCTCCTCCCCAGATCCCATTAGTTCACACAAACACTTTGGCCAAGGTAAGTTGGCCAATGCAGAGGAGTGAGCTGCAGCTCCAAAGAATCTGAGTCTCGCTTGTGACCTTTTGCAGAAATTGGGGATCAGCCCACACCAACTGGGGTAACCCCGGGGGCTCCAAAAACAGCCCTAATTCTGACCCAGACCCCCTCCAGCTGCAGCCAAGCTGCATTCCAGGGGCTCCTTATAATTCATTTTTTGGCTCTTTTCTATATACAGGAAAACGTTCAATGACTCAAGTGTCTTATTTCGGGACCTTTGGAAAGACTCTCAGGTAAGTGCAGTTCCCAAGCCCTTTGACAGGTTGACAGGTGGAAAACTGGAGTTAGACAATGCCACCCATGGGGTCCAAAGTGCGTAGGAAAAGTGGCAGGGCGCCCAGAGAGGGTACAGAGAAGGGGAAATGGATAACCAGGGACAGAATTGAGGTGCCAATGCGTTCCACACACTCACCCTCCAACCCTGAGGACTGGGGCACCTTTGACTCTAGTTTTCCCCAGTCCTGGCCCAATTCAACTCCCCAAGATATTAGTTCCTCAAACCCCACAGAGCCAAAACTCACAGCTGGCCAAGGGAAAGCCTTTGAAACCTAATCCTACCCCTGTCCAGTCAACCTGCTGTCCTCAAGGTGGCTCTCAGTTTGCTCATCTGCAAAATAGGCACTACCCACGGGGGCCTCCCGACTGCAAAGCAGATGTGACCCAATCACGGCAGGATGAGCTGAAAGAGAAGGGTCAGGGGAGGTTGACTGCAACTGTGTCACAGGTCTGTACAAGGGTATCCCTGAAGGGCAAACGCTTGAGGGTGCACCTTAGCCTTATCACATACCACAGTGACCCGGGACCTGTGGCACCTCTAATCAGCAGCTCTGAAGCCTAGCTCAGCTTTACAGCTTACCACGGGCTTATTCAGCCCCATCTCGCTCAATCCCCTCAAGGACACAGTGAGGCTGGCACTGACGTCCTTGCTGCCTTCAGCCCAGGGAATCACCCAAGGTCACAGGCCAACTAAGACAGGACTTGAACTCAGCTCCCTCGGGACTAGCTCCTGCCTCGCAGATTCTGCTTGCCTCAGAACCATTCTACTCCATTTTACAGATGAGTTAACTGAGGCCCCAAAAAGGTTGCCCAAGGTCAAGTGGGGGCTGAGCCAGGCCTAGGACCTCTAGTCATTTTACCAATCTCACCCTGTGGTGGGTACTCATCAGCCACTGCCCTCAGGCTCCCTCTAATCCCCCTTTCCAACGCCATCCTGATGGAATCTGTCCTTCCCCACTCCACCCCCATACCTCTTCATGCCCACCCCACACTCCCTGAATGACTCCCTGGTTGAGAGGGAGGCAGGCGGTTGCTAAGTGCTCACCCGCGCTCTCTCTCTCATAAAAATAAACTCCTTCTGGCTAGGAGACTCTGGATGAGATCCCCTCCCTTCCAGCCAAGAAAAAAAATTAAAAGAAAATTTAAAAGATCTCCTCCATGACATTTATTTGAACGTCAGCAGTGCCGAAGCATGGGCCAATTTACCAAAGTCCAAATGGAGCTACGCACCACTAAACCTCAAAATCTCAGCCTGAAGACCCTCCGTTTAAGCCTCTGGGCTGTTACTGAGCTGATTTATGTCACCAGGCAGGAAATGGGGGCCCGGGCTGCCTCCCAAGCCTCTGGGGCTGGTCCTGGGGAAGGCCAGGAACTGGCAGAGGCCTGGCAGTGACCAAAATAGCCAGGCGGGTGGCCTGCCGAGCACACACCTCCCTCTGGGTGCCCAGGAAGGCGGCCCACAGGTCCTCTCTCCAGTCCAGGCTAAAGCTTTGGGGCTGTGGATTCTCTGAGATTCTCTCTGGCTTCCCTATTGAGAGCCGTAGAACCTCCTGCCCCAAAGAGGAACCTCTAGAAGGAAGGGAAAAAGTCAAGAGGAGTGTCTTGCTGTCCCTGCCCACGGCCCTCTTGGCCTCCAGCTGTCCCTTAAGACGGCTGGACATTGGCACTGCCACCTGCACGCCACACTCGGGCATTACCCTTGGAGCCAGGCCGCCCTATCACCTCTCCCCACTCAGTGCCTGCCCTGAAGAACCAGCTCCTCTGTTCAGCTCTCTAGAAACCAGAGACACTCCCTCAGGTACAGCAGAGGACACACAAGTGCTGGCAACCAGGGACCCAGAGACACAGCCACACGTGCGCAGGCAGGTACTTGAAGACACAGCCACACACACACACACACACACACACACACACACACAGGTTCTCACCCACCCTCCCGCGAGCACGCGCGCACACACCCACACATTCACACAGACACACACCAGGACACACAACTGCACACGTTAGAAGACACAACCACACTCAGGTATCACAGACACACCAGAATACACACACACACACACACACACACACAGCCCTGGACACAGAAAATAGCAGACATACATTGGGTCACACAGCGCATGCTGCTGGGGACATGGAGAAACAGCCACCCTCAGAGACACACACACAGGGACGCGGAGATACATACAGGCGCCCAGTGAGCCTGAGACACCGACACACACCTGCCGCCGGCACTAGAAGCCGAGCCCTTTCGCCAGGGAAACAATAACAGCCCTGCCGGCAGGTCTGAGCAGGCGACCCTCCATCCCTCCCTCGGTGGTGAAAGGGACGCCAGAATCGGGGGGCACTGGGCGGGAGGAGGTCGGGACTAGATGGAGCGCGGGGACCAGGTGGGGGCTCCGCGCGCCCGGCTCCCTCTCCCGCGGGTACCTGGGGCGGCCGCGGCGCTGCACTCCCTTCCACTCGCCAGGGACTGCCCGCCGGCTGGGTCTCTGGCCCGCGGGGTCCGCGCTCCGCGCTCCTCGGTGTGGCGGGGTGTCCGAGCTCGCAGTCCTCAGGGCTCGGCGACGGCAAGCGAGCCGGACTGCAACCAGGGCCCGAAGCTCGGCGCTGGCGGCGGCGCGAAGGAAGCAGTAATTTATAAGCGGCTTCTTCCTGACCTCGCGTGTCTGTTGTCTGAGCAGGCAGCTCTCAGCATCACCCATCCTGCTGGGTGGAAAAATACCAGCTTGGCCGGGCCGGGGGCGGGGCCGGGGGCGGGGTCGGGGCGGGGCCGCGGCGCTCTGCCCCTCCCCACACGCGGACACACACATATGTACAGGCGCGCGCACACACACGCACACTCCACACGCGCACGCGCGCACGGGCTCGGACACACAAAGAGCCTGGGTTCGCCGAGCGCGCGCGTGCACACTGCAGGCGGTGGTCGAACACTCGGCCAGCCGCTTCCCCCATTGCAGCGCATTTTTCCGGAAACCCTTAATCTACAACCCCTGGTGCCAAGTGGTACAGCCTGTCCTCAGCCCTTTCCTGCCAGGAGAGGCCCCCAACCTCGACTCTGTGCCGCTCCTCGACTCGGTCCAGCCTCCGCACCCCAGCACTCGCTCATCCACCTGGCTCCTGGGAGGGGCCTGCGTTTCCTCGAGTGGCAAAGGCCAAACCACGCCACTGCGTCCTCCCGGGCGACCATCCAGGTTCTCAGCCTTGATATGCTCCTTCAAGAAATGGACACCGCAGCCTTCCCTGGCTGCCTCCCCCAGGCATGAGGGCGACCTGAGATTGTGATGTGAAGCCGACAGAGCTCCAGGATGCGTGGCTGTGCCCCAGCTGGGTGACCTTGGGGTAGTGTTACTCTGGCTCTCTGTGCCTTGACTTCCTGATCTGTAAAATGGAAATAAAAATAGGAGAACTTATCTCCTCTGGGTGCTGTGAAGATCCGAGGTTAACAATGTAAAGCAATCAGAACAGCACCAGGCACTTAAGTGCCGAGCGAGTGTCAGCTACTGCGACTATTTTTAAATGAAAATGGGGAATGTGCCATTATTCTTGTCCTTATTTGCATGAGCTGGTCCTCGGAGACCATTTTCCAAAACCAGGCCCTGGCTGAGCATGAGGGGGAAGTGCTGTGTGACTTCCAGCAAGGTCTTTTCCCTCTCCAAGCCGTTTTCTTCTCTCATTCCCTCTCTGCACTGGGAACTGTGTGGAGAGCTCCTGGATCCTTCCACCTTAGGCTGAGAATAAAGGAAGAAATACCAAATGGGCTCTGCAGACAACCATCCCCCACGTCAGACCTGGCCCAGCTGGAGCCCACTGCCTGGAGGAGCTCTTAACGCCCTATTCCTAAGCAGCTGCAGAGATGGACCAGGGATGCTGAATGGAAGAACTCCCGAGATGACACTGCCTTTCCCTGGCTTCCTCTTTGGGGCCCCCTGCTGTCTGGCTCCATTTGGGCCTTCTGGCAGGCTACCCCCACCAGCTCCAGCCAACCCAGACACTGGCCCCTCCTGGCACATGCCCTCCCTTGCCTTCTTCTTGTGCCTTCCCTTCCCTTCTCTCCTGCCCCCAGGTGCCCCTTTCTCCAGGAAGCACCAGGAACCAGCAGTGTCTCCAGCAGCCCAGCAGCCCCAGGTGGCATCCACTTCCAGTTACCTCATCTCTCTCCTCTGAGTTCAGGGTACCTGCACCCCTTTTATCAGTAAGGAAACCAGAGCTGGAGAGGAGAAGCAATTGAGTCTCCACATTTCTCCCCTTCTGATGAAAGTGAGGTTCCTCCATGAATTGAAGGCGCAGACGCAGTCAGAAACTCCCCAGACTCTTTGTGCCAGCACCACTGTGCACAGAGCAAAGTGGCAGGTCACATAGTGTGGAGTTGGGGTTGGAACCAGGAGGCTTTGACAAAACCACAGGGTTGAGGAGAATGGAGAGGGAAGTGTGTTCCAGGCAGAAGAAGCTGCTATGCAAAGGCTCACTGGCGCCCTAGCCGGCTTGGTGCAATGGATAGAGCATTGGCCTGCGGACTGAAGGGTCGTGGGTTCGATTCCAGTCAAGGGCATATGCCTGGGTTGCAGGCTTAATCCCCAGTAGGGGGCGTGCAGGAGGCAGCCTATCAATGATTCTCTCTCATCACTGATGTTTCTATCTCTCTCTCCCTCTCCCTTCCTCTCTGAATCAATTTTTTAAAAAAAGGCTCACTGGCAAGGGTGTTGGTAGCCCTAAACAAGGGTGTTGGTAGCCCTAAACAAAGGTGATGTGGGCCCAGCTAAGTGTGACTGAGAGTGAACAAGGGCAGTGAGGCCACGGGAGGAATGATGGGAGTGACATGTCCAGGGCTGCAATTTGAAAAAATCCATTGCATTGAATGAACTTCAGGCAGGCCGGTGTAGTGCAGACAGTGTCAGCACAGATCACAGGAGCAAATCTTATCCAACCCTCTATCTTCCTCCTCTAGATCATTAACTCCACAAGGAATGGGCCTTGTTCTTAGTGCCTCTGTTGAGTCCTGGGCCTGCCACGCACTAGGTACTCAACCAATGTTTGTTGCATTTATTTAATTTAACAAACCCTTATATTGATAAGGTACATGTTGGGAACAGTTCAGTGTATTTAAATATGTTAATTTATTCAATCCTCACAATAACCCTACTATTAATCTCCCCATTTTACAGAAAGGAAAACTGAGACACAGAGAAATTCAGTAAGTTGCCCAAGGTCACTCAGTGATCACATAATAGAGTTGGAATTCAAACCCAGGCCATCTGGATCCAGAGGGCACACTTTTGTAAAAAATATGTTTGTTGAATTTAGAAAGAGAAAAAGAGAGGGAAAGAGATGTGCCTCCCTAACCAGTTTCGCTCAGTGGATAGAGCATCAGCCTGCAGACTGAAAGGTCCCAGGTTTGATTCCGGTCAAGGGCATGTATCTTGATTGCAGGCACATCCCCAGCAGGGGATGTTCAGGAGGCAGCTGATCAATGTTTCTCTCTCATCGATGTTTCTAACTCTCTATCCCTCTCCCTTCCTCTTTGTAAAAAATCAATAAAATATATTAAACAGAGAGAGAGGCCTTCCTGCATGCCCCCTACACATCCCCTACTGGGGATTGAGTCCATAACCTGGGCATGTGCCCTGACCAGTAATCAAACCAGTGACCTCTCGATGCATGGGACAAAGACACACTTTTAAATGAGGGAATTCCTGGAGTCTCAGTGATTATCAGATAAAAACCCAGCCTCAGAGGGCAGGAGAGAGAGGGGGAGAGGAGCCAGGAAGGGCTACAACCTCAACCCAAGGACAGGACAGTGGATAAGAGGTAGAGGAGGGCAGAGGTGGTGGGAGGAACCATGGAGAAACCCAGGGTGGAAAGGGCTTGGCATGGAGCCAGAGACCCCGTTTCTCTTCTCTTTTCTGCTGCTTCCCGGCTGTGTGACTTGGGCCTGCATGCCTGCTGTCTGTGTCTCAGTTTCCTCATCCATAAGATGGGACAAGAAGTCCTGCCTCATCGAGCCACTGTAATTAGAGGTCTCAAACTGGGGGTGGGTGGGGAGAGTGCCTGCACTGAGTCCAGCTCCCCGTGTGCTCTGTGGCCTCCACTGGCCTTTAAAATATTTACTTGCCATGAATAAAAACTTGGGAAAGTTCATATTTTAATATGTTTTTTAATTGATTTTAGAAAGAGGGGGAGAGAGAGGGAGAGAGAGAGAGAGAAAAACATCATTGAGAGAGCAACACCAATCAGCTGCCTCCTGCATGCCCCCTCCGTTGAAGATCGAGCCCATGTCCCCGGGCATGTGCCCTGACTGGGAATCAAACCGGTGAACTCCTGGTGCATGGGTCGACGCTTAACCACTGAGCCACATCGGTGGGCAAAGTTCACATTTTAGAAACCTGAATATCTGCTTTCCCTGGAAAAAATGGCAAGATACAGCCACCTCAGGCCCATTATCTACCTGTCTACTATCACGTGGAGCTGAGTGGCATCAACCACCCCCTCACTTGGGGGGGGGGACATGGGCTCCCCAGATAGCCACAGGCCCCCACTGGTAGTTCCTTCATTTATATCACCTACCTGCCACCCTGTCCCCTGCACGGGGCTGAGTTTGAGACCTGTGGTATACTTTGTACACCATCCCTGTCCCCTTGCCAGGAGATGGCCGCTGGAAGCTCTAGGAAAAGACTGTGAGCACCAAGGAATCGAAACTGTTGGCAACGAGGAGGGAACTTCAAGGAAATGCAAGCAGCGGTTTCCTTCAGAAGCCACATGCCAGCTGAAGTTCCATTGGGACTACCTCTTCCCGTTTCAAAAATGAAAATCAATAGTGGGGGGAGCTCTCGGAGGGCACGTGAGGAGAGGGGGCCAAGCGTCAGGCCTCATTCGGTTTGCAGCCCTGAACTTAAAGGCAGGGAAGGAAATTGTCAAAAGGCGACTTGATGAAGTTGTGTGTTTTTTTAGCTGCTGGCAATAATAAAATAAAATTGATCTAGAACTTTAAACAAAACCCTTTGTCCCTTGCCACAGAATAGTGTGTCTCATCTTTTAGGTGACCAGCAAGGGTTGTTGAAATGCCAGCAGGAGGTCCTCTCAGAAGGTCATTCCCTAAGGAGGCAAAGTGACAAAGCTGCTGAGTGGTCCCTGTCCTGGTTACTTTCTCTTGGGCACACTCATGTGTCCTCATCTCTGCAGGTATACAGACAGATGGCTGTGTTGTAGGTGGGGAGGGGGGTGGGGAACGGTGCCGGGTGTTAGACCCGTGGAGTCAGACAGGACCTGGGTTCAGCAACCTCAGTACTTGAGTTCTGGCTATGAAAGAATTCAGAACCAAGACTCAACTATAAGAGAACATTTATTTGTAAAAATCACAGAGGTGGAAGAAGTAATTCATAGAAGAGATGGGCTTAGGAAACAAGTTATGAGATAAAGGAAGGGCCCTTGGAGCTTGGGAGTGAGGAAGACAATGGTAATGCGCCTGGGGGAGGGGGAGAGGGAGAGGGGAGAGAGGAGGAAAAGGCTTGGGCAGGCTTGGTCCCAGGAGGGAGATCTCCCTGGGTCTGCCTTCCTAAGGGTTTTTTGGTGGTTGTTGTTAATCCTCATCCAAGGATGTTTTTTCCATTGATTTTGAGAGAGAGAGAGTGGAAGGTAGGGAGTGGGGGAGAGAGAGAGAGAGAGAGAGAGAGAGAAAGAGAAAGAGACATTGATGTGAGAAAGAC